ACTAGCAACTTTCTAGAATGTAATTTAGGACTAAGACAAGGATGTAGCCTCTATACAGTTCTGACTTAAATGATTACCTTATTGAACATGATCTTAAATATATTTAAATTTGTCTTGAGGGCTGACACGTAATATAATCTTCAAAAAATATTGCGTGTTCTTGAGCAATATTGTGACATGTGGGATTTAAATGTAAACATGGAAAAAACGAAAGCCATGGTTTTCCAAAAAGGTGAAATCGTTAAAAAGTACTGAAAAATGGGTATACAAAAATGTAAATATTGAAATTACACATATCTAGGCATAAAGAAGCTCTAGAGGTTGCTGGAGTGCAGCTATACAGACCCTCACAAAACAAGCAAGTAAAGGCTTATTTAAATTTTAGAAGTATTATAGAAATATTAGTTCAGACATAAAGATGTGTTTATTTGACACGATGGTGCGACCAATCCTTCTTTATGGTTCCGAGGTAAAGGGATATCATAGGATTTCAAGTTATGAGACAATACACACAAAATTTTGTAAAAGTTTGTTTTTTGAAAAGATAACAATGATTCAAGAATCTATTTAATGATTGAAATAAACTGTACCACGTTATACATTTAATAAAAACAACATTTTGTTTTTCAAACCTCTGTGATTCAAACTCCATGGACGTGGTTCAACATACATTCATGTGAACAAATTCGGTGATTCGCTGTGTGCGTTGATTTGCTGTAGATTCGATCATGCGTTGTTCAGTAACAACTTTTAAACAAGTAGAAATTTCTTTGTTTTTACAAATATGTTTGCTTAATGCATTTTAACATGACTAAACAATTAAAAGCTTGGAGAAAATTATTTTCGTTTACTGTTAATTTAGGCTACATTCTAAGCTTATCTTGCCAACAGAAGGGCCTCTGCAAATTAGTGCCGTTGTTAGCTTCGGGCACCTCGGCAAAAATTGAAGAATGCCGACGCTAATTACGAGGGCTGTAGCATTGTAAATTATTATTACATTATTATCTAAATACAATATTTAGATAATAAGACCGTGTATTTAATCACAGAAAAGTTAGCCCTGACGAAGGACAGTGTTCTGTCCCAAAAAGCTAGGCATTTACCTCACTGCCTGTTTTACTTTTACGTTTAAATTTTAGCTTTTGACTACCAATTTTGTATCTCATTGTTTTTTTCAGTATTTTGCCATTTGGATTATAGATAGAAGTTGTTATAATTTATTTATTTTTTTGTATATTTGCAAAGGTAATTAAAATACCTGCATGAAGAAAAGGCACAGTATTAGCTGTTATGTAGATGAAAGTAAGAAAACTAGTTAGTAGATAGAATCAGATTGCTGAACTGCAATTGAATGTAAATAGATAATTTACAGTACAAACAGTGTATGATGTGCTATCCATTTATTTATTGTTATTGAAATTAAATTAACCACAAAAGAGTTTGACTGTTGGATTTTTACTTTAAAATAGTATTAAATAAATTATAAAATCAAACATTGCAACACAATTCAAAACTTAAAATTCAACACATTTAAATGGAATCTTACAGTAATTATATTTCATTTTTTTCTTAGGTAGGGAGGGAGAAACCCCATCCCAAACCCACCCCCACTCAGGCAACAAAATTCAAAAGTTAAAATTTAACACTGTTAAATGCCAATAAAACACTGTTAAATGGCATCTTACAGTAATTTTTTTTCATTTTTTTCTTAGGTAGGGAGGGGGACACACCCTCCCAAACCCACCCCCGCTCGAGCCCAAGGACCTTTGGATGTCGCTCCGCAACATGTTCCCTTCGTCTATTACTAAAACTCCTCCTGTTATTTCGTTTCAAAATAACACCACTGAAAGACTTATACAATAAAGCATGTATGGTTGTGAAACTTAATGTGGCGAAGTATATTGACATTTTCTGGGCACCAATAAGTTTATCAATGAAATTTCTTTTAAAAGCTGAGATCGATCAAAGTACAATTAAATAAAAGTTCAGATTAAGATTTTTGATTCATAAATAAATGTGTATCAAGGTAATGCATAGAAATTATATCACTTAATTTACTATCAGATATCATACGACACTTCATGGTCAAGGGCCAAATTGCGTGTTATCTACACTTTTATAAAAATTTACGAAAACAATAAAAAACCATAAAAATCAATTGCATTAAAAACACAACAGACAAATCAAGAACAAAAGGGAATCATTGAAAGGCATTTACATGAATTACTGAATTGATTGATTGATTGGATTGATTGGATTGATTAGATTGATTAGATTGATTGATTGGATCGATTGAATAGGGATGGGACTTTTAGTATGACGGAAAAGTTAGGTGATTTCTACCATGGGTTTCAAAGCGGGTATAAGGGATTTAAAAATCAGACGAATGAGCTGTAACAAGGATAATTTTTGAAAACTTGACACATCTGCCCCCGGCCTGCTACTTGTACTTTTCCCCTCTCTACTCTACCACTGGACACAACACATCTTCTGCAGTATATTGGCTAATTCCTAAATAGATTGATTAAGCTTATCAAATATTTTATATAATAAATTTAATTGGTTGAAAACTTCATGTGGCTACACTGCAAGTACTGTAGTACCACACTTCCCAAACTATGGGTCGCGACCCAAAAATGCGTTTGCGTTGGATCGTGGGCCGGTTTGCAATTTTAAAAAAAATCAATTTATGTGCTCATTTTCAGAGTCTCTGACGTGCTCATTTTAATCAGCTCTGACGACTTAAAAACAGCATGTTAGGTGAATCGTCATTAGAACAATGTTTTATTATATACCCACGATGAATATTCAGAAATTATGACTAGTATTATTTTTCTGTTGCCGTTTACCGCAGCATAATTGTGAAACTAAGCTTTCAACTGTTAAAAAAAAATTATAGAAATCAACTGAAAATATAAAACTACTGTAAGGTGACCTAAAAATAACATTATCCAAATGAATTTCAAATGTGTAACTATAATGCAAACAATAATATACCAAAAAGCACTTGTCATGCAGTGTGGTTGATAAGGCAGTAGTAACCAGTGCAGTGGCGTATCCTGTGGGTGCTCAGGGATGCTTGAGCATCCCATTCAGAGGTTAGAAAAAAAAGTGCCCCTTCTTAATTAATGTTATATGACATTTTCTGGTACCTGGAAGTCCCAAATTATTACAATTGTCTAATCTCTGCCAACTATGGTTGGCTCAGGTGGATGGTAGTTTTCATAAACTTCAGGTATCCAAGGGTCATTTTCAGGCATCTATAAAAAATCTCAAATTCTTAAAATATACTCATTTGCGCCCCAAAACCATAGTAGAACTTGGGTAGATATCGTGGAGTTTCTACTATTCAAGTGCTATTTTCTGGTATTTATAAGTTTCAAATTCTTTAAATTTCCCAACCATGGTGGGGCTCAGGTGGATATGGTAGTTTTTAGAATTGTAAGTCAATTTTGCCATTTTCGGGCACCTATTTATTTAATTTGGATTCATCTTTTCAATTAAAAGTAAAAGGTAAATTAAGTTCCATTTTTGGGCATCCAGGTACAAAATAGCGAAAATTTTCTAATGTCACCACCAATCTAGGTGGTGCTGACGTGGTGTGGACTCATTCCATTAGCGCCTCCACCAGCATTCTCTAAATCCTTGATAAGCAACCAGTAACCACAGGGTTAAAATTTAGATATAAAATTCATGAAATATAATTTAATGTTTGAAAATATTTTTTGCAAAAAAAGTTGATTATATTTTCGTTTCAATATTAAAAGTTGTCTCATTTTCCAGTGGAAGGTTCAAGGCTCCCACACCCTTCAAGTAAAACAAAATGGAGAAAAAAGGAAAAGTGTAATCAAATTTAATCTTAGAGTGTCATTTCCATCTATGGGTGCCATAATCATAACATTTCCTACCTCAGCCCCAACCCTCTCAGTTGGGCCCCCTATTACCAAATCCTATATCCGCCACTGGTTTCTCAAAAAGGAGATCATTAGTAAACAATAATCCCTGTAATACTAATGCCAAATAGTCATTTTTTGAAAAAATAAAGCATCAAATTTTTGTGATAAGGTCGATGTGCAATTTACAATGACATTTAATATTATATGGGTTGCAGTTTGTCTGGGATATCACAAATTGGGTCCCAAAGAACAAAGTTTGGGAAGCGGGGCTGTAGTAACTTTTCCACTCACAAAGTAACTAATAAGATGCCTCTTAAAGTACTAATTGTCATGTGCATGTGTGCAATGGAGTTCAATAACTCAGACTAACACAGATTGTAGTTTCCATGTGAAGTAACGCGGGCCACCATATTTATTCACCATATTGTAATACTCTCAGATAGAGGGCAGTATATGCCTTAGTGGCATTATCATGACATCTCCCCTTCTTTGAGTTCTTATGAACATACTGTAATATTATCATGTGGGTTTATATTATTTTATATATTAATTAAATTGCAATGAGGAACAAGTTTGTTGACTAATTCTTATTGTTTAAAAAGATCTTAAAATGTTGTTTATATTTGCAATAAAGTCAATTTGATGATTATTATATAAAGTTTCTGACTTCTATTATTAAATGTATTTATCGTGTTATTGTGTTGCAGGTAATTCCATATTATCACATAATCGTCAGGCATTCATCATGGAAACATAAAACATTAACTAACTCTACTAAAACAGATTTAACAGTTCAAACTTCCATCTTAAACAGTGGAGGTGCTCAACTGTGCACAATGTATCTTGTGTTTAAAGTTCACAAGTCAAGTCTATTGACTGGTTTAATACGACGTCCTGCCTGTGTAGTTTGGTTTGAGTGTGGTCGTGGTGATTCAGGCTCAGTTGTGTTGTCGATTCTTGTAGCAATGATTTCCATAGTGAATTCGGCTATCACAAGTACTATTATCATTGTTTGTGTTTGTATCCGGCATTTGTTGTATGTTCTGCCGGTTTCTCCTGAATTGTTGTCCACTTGTGGTCTGGACGATGTATGATCTTGGTTCCTCAGACTTTGTCGTGACTAGTTTTAATGCGCACTGTGTCTTCTGGTTTCAGATTGGACAAGGTTTTAACTCCATGTCCCTGATTGAAGAAGTGTTCATATCTCTTCTTTGCTACAGTGTCGTTGTCTTTCACTTTATGCATATCCAGCCATTTTGGTTGCAATTTCTTTGCAAGTGTCGGCAATGTTGTTCTTGGTTGACGTCCCATTATCATTTGTGCTGGGCTGTATCCTGTTGCTTCGATTGGTGTTGACCTATATATCATCAGTGCTAGTACAGGATCATTTTGGCGTAACATAGTTTTCGCTGTTTGGACAGCACGCTCTGCTTCACCGTTTCCTTGAGGATAGTGTGGACTTGTCGTTACATGTTGAAATCCATACTCTGAGGCAAACAATGTGAATTGACGGGATGCAAACTGTGGTCTGTTGTCTGAAACCACAGTCTCTGGGATTCCCCAACAGGCATATATTCCTTTCAGTGCCGTGATGACCTTCTGGCTTGTCATGTCTTTTTGTAGATTGATCATTTCAATGTACCTTGAAAAGAAGTCAGATACTATAAGATAATGATTGTTCTGGAAATCACAAATATCCATCGATATACGTTGCCATGGACGTTCTGGAATCGGAGTAGTAATCAGAGGTTCTTTCTTTTGCGTTCTCCTGTATAGCTTCTTCACAGAATCATCATGGCACATCAACTCGTCTTTTGCAGCTCCACCCAGGTGGGCTAGAAGAGAACTTGCTTTGGCTTCACTTGTTAAGTTGTAATGATCAGCATAAGTGGTGAAGTCATCTAACCATTCATGTAAAGACGGGTCACCGGCAGCTTGGGGAAGACCTTTAAACTTTGTTAACCCTCACAGGAGGTGGACCACGTTGTGTATAATCTGCTCAACTGTTAAATAATTTGGATAAATATACAAGCATACAAAATATAATACAATATAAATAAATCTATCTATACAATCAAGGTATAATAACTTTTAAAATAAAGTTATCTATTTTACTAGGTGCTCCAATTCCACAGCATCCAGGGGTCTTGCATCTAGACTCAGCTCAGTTCATCGCGTGGTATCAACTCTCAGCACGTTACACCACCTCTAGACTAATTGAAGCATTGTCTCTCGATCAGTCGTTACATGGAGTTCATCTGTATCATCACAGCTGCATCAAACCGCTGCCACCAATTTGTCGTGGGCGAAACGTTGAGTCAAAGAATGAACTAAGACCAAAGTAACATGGTATCAACGTTTATTAACCGTAACATATTAAGAGAAAACAAAGAACCCCTGCGATGCACTCTGGTAACGTTTAGGCCAAATCTGTACTCAATTAAGTATCTTAATCTATACCAAAACCAGGTTCTCATTAACCATCACCAGTAAATAACTCGAACGAAAACTTGAAAGTGTAAGTTATAGCTTTCTTTACACTTCACAGACACGGCAAAACAACGTCTTGTCTCTAGCTCGGCAGACACTCGTGTAAATCGCTAAAATCGCTAAATCGCTAAAATTCAGTTCCTGACATCTTTTCTCCCCAAAGAAGGGCCTGGCTCCCCCCACCCCCCATTCTGGCTTGCCTCCTGCACCATAAAAACATAAAAAACTAGATTATACCTTAAATAATGAAAAACTTTGGTGTGGTTCCACAACTATTTTAGTGATGCCAACATTGTACAGCCCTGTAGTATTATAACTCTGCCATTTCTGGCAAAAATGTGCTGGGGGTATGAATGATCCCTTAAATTTACAGTACATACAGTTCTATACTGAAATGTATTGATATTGCCTACAATTTGTTCATTCGTCCCGCCACGAAAATGTTTTTCATTGCCATGGTGATTTGATCAAGTACTGTGTTTTCTGTTTTACGTCAAATTGAAATACTGTAGGTATCAGTACCTTGCTCAAGATCATAAAAAAAGTTTCATAAACTAGACAGAGACCTACATCTAAGCACGAGGAGGAAGTGCAGCGTGGTCGCCAAATGGTGAGTGGTCGTGGTCAAGAAAGGGGCGTGGCCATGTTAGAGATAGGCAGATGTCAACTTCAACTCCTCTTTCTTCTAGCCATAGCCTTTCTTCTCCATCAAGTATTGGTAGCCCATCACCTAGCCAACTACTTCAACCCCTTCTGCCTGTTTACCCCTCCCCTTCTCCCTCCTCTTTTTTTTTTTTTTTTTTTCATCTCTCTCTCCTTCAAGTCGTAGCCCATCACCTCCTCCTCAACGAAGATGCAGCCGGTCCACAAGCAAGAAATAGGGGACGCGGTCGCCCTAGAGGATGTCTTGCTGGTAGGGATGCTCATCTAGCACGCAGTGCTACACCCCAACGAAATGATTGGAAGTGGGAAAAAGTATGTCAAGCCGCAGAATACACTCCAAAAAATATTGCTTTTTTGGAAATGAACGGATCAAAGCTCGAATGGCAAATAATAATCCAATTGATTATATGAACTTATATTTTACTGACAACTTTTTCGAGCTCTTGGTAACGGAAACCAACAGACACGCTTAGCAGTATTACTCAAATAATAAAGAACAGATAGATGTAGATATGATTGGCAAGATGTGGACATCAACGAGATGAAAATGTTTTTAGGGCTCATTATGCTGAGGGGTATTGTTCACGAGCACAGACGAATTATATGCAACACAGATTTTCAACAAAACAATGAAACAAGATCGCTTTAGAGGTATTTTGAGGTTTTTGCACTTCAATGACAACAGTCAAAATGATATGAATGATCCAAATAGAGATCGGTTATTCAATGTTCGACATCTTATGAACTTTGTAAAACAGAGATGTGCATCAGTCAATGAGCCAGGCTGTGACATCTCTATTGATGAGTCCTTTCTTCTTTTCAAAGGCAGACTTCTGTTCAAACAATACATAAGAACCAAATGGTCACGATTTGGTGTAAAATTCTATGAAATATGCACATCATCTGGAATTATGTTGGATTTTCTAATCTACTGCGGTAAACAAATTGAGGGAAACGCAGACCTAAGTGCTACAGAAAGAATCGTTGACACACTTATTCAACCATTTCTTGTCTTGTCAAAGTTTATTGATAACTACTACACATCTCCGTTCCTTGTAGACTACTTGCTAAAAAGAGACATATACACCATAGGTACGGTACAAACAAAGCAGAAGAACTTTCCAGAAGAGCTTGCTGAGCACAGAATAGAGAAAGGCAAAGCATTATTTTATGCTGACAAGTCTCGCAATATACTAACCTGTAAATTCCGTTGGAAGAAAGATAAGGCAAATGGCAAGCCGATGATTATACATATGTTGTCGTCGAAGCATACATATGGTATTGAATCCTCCGGGAAAAAGGACAGGGATAACAGCGACATAATAAAGTCGACAGTAATTTTGAATTATAATCAGAAAATGGGAGGCGTGGATGTGACAGATCAACAATTGCATGGTATTCAAACAACAAGGAAATCATACAAATGGAGCACCAAAGTGACCATAAGAATAATCATGTTTTGTACCCTAAACTGTACAAAATGGATGCTAATCCATCAACGGCTTATGCGAAATAACTAAAGTTTCTGCACGACATCATTTCGGTGTAACTGAGGTCAAGTCCAAAGCTAAATAGAGCAGCATTGAAAGTCACAACCGTTCATCGACTTACTGGAAAAATTTCCCTTCACAACTACCATAATTTAGTTTACCAAATACATTTTATTCATGTACAAAATGACAAAATCTATGTAATAAGTAACATAGTCACCCTTTTCATGGCCCAAAATTGGAATTTTGTAACACATAGCCTTTGACCTAGGTCAAAAGGGTCAACAATATTTCAATAAATCTCAATGTTTGCGGCCAGTACCCTTTACAGCATTAGCAAACCAAAAAGGCAAAATTCTTAAGTTTAATTTCCAAACAATGTGGTATAGTTTACTGGGAATAATGATGATATTTACAGCGATAAACAAGGGACGGCTGCAATAGCAATCTCCATGTACAACACCGCTGTGTCAATGGATTGTTTATATCCAATGCAAAAGTTTGGTCGCTAAATCCCTCTATTACAAATACTTGACCTGCTTCTCACAAGAGTGCGTATGGTGGGAACATGTGGAAACATTTCTTATTTAATTTATTGTTACTAGGCAACCTGCAGTACTGGATATATGGTAAATGATCAAACTTCCAGGACATTCATATATTCCCAGTACTGGAAAAAGCTCATTTGTTTTTCCAGGACATTCCAGGAATTTAAGGACGCGTACGAACCCTGCTACGATTTTACTTACCTTATGAAGCATAATTGTTTTTAAAAGTGTTTTCAATTCCATTTCAATAATTCTTAACAATATGATGATTTTAAAGGTGTTATTATTATGATTTCGCCTTAAAAAAAATTGGGAAAATTAAAACGATTATAAACCAATAAACAATATTGATAAAAATATTAGAATTCCATTCCATTACTGTTTAGAGTTCTGTCACCATAATAACATACATTATACCTTAAATAATGAAAAACTATTGGTGCCATTCCACAACTGTTGTAGTGACACCATCATTATAAAGCCCTTTAGTACTAAAATTCTGCCATTTCTGCCAAAAATGTGCAATGGGTATGAATGATCCCTTAAATTTACAGTACATATAGTTCTATATGTATTGATTTTGTCTATGGTGATTACTCAAAAGTATGTGCTTAAGTTTATAATACAATTTTAAAGTTTGAATTAATTGAGAAGATAACCTGTCGTCTCATTTTTGTCCAATTTGTTTATTCCGTCCTGCCACCAAATTGTTTTTCGTTGCCATGGTAATTGATCAAGTACCGTGTTTTCTGTTTTATGTCAAATTGAAGTAGGTATCAGTAACTTGCTTAAGATCATAAACAAGTTTCATAAACTAGACAGAGAACTACATCTAAATAATGTCAAATGTTCCTTCTCGCCACTGGAGGGAGGGTTTTCGATTACACCCAGTCTATCAGAAATAAATAGATTACCTGAGACTTGTAAGTAATGGCGGTACATGACAGCCAACTTTTGAATTAAAGACAGTGCAATATGATGATGTTATATTTTAGTTTGCTTTATAATCATCAGATGCACTTATAGTATCATCATGTGTACAGTAAGCTTTACAGCCATAGAAAGATGTAGGAAAAAATATTGAATTTCTTGCTTATTGTCATTTAGTTTTGTATGTATAAGGCCCGAATATTCAACTTTTTAAAGCTGGAGGCCAGTCCCAATCTGTTGAGACCAGCGGCAGGCCAACACAAATTGTGCACTTCCATTTATTCTATGTTAGCCCCACCCCCATTGGTGGATTCGACATAGAATGGACCAGGGAAGAAAATATTTTAAAAATTTATATGGCACCCCTAGATGGTCGGAAATGGCACTCTTAGAAATTTGAATATTATTTTCTTTTCTTCTCCATTTTATTTTAGAATTTTGATAAAAAAAAAAAAAAAAAAAATTGCACTCCTACCCTGCAAAAGAATTGCACTCCTACCCCTGCCACTAGAAATTATACTACCACAAAAATCGTCATTCAAAAATCGGTGGAAATGACGCCTAGATGAGATGTATTAGGGAAATATTTTGCACACTTCAGATAGTGACCAATGGGAGGTTGAGATTAAAAAGAGCTTCTGTGTAATTAGTAAATTTGAATGTAAACAATGTTAATACCAGCGTGAAACTACATTGATCGGAATATTCAAGGGACGGTCAGTGTCTATGGTCTCAAGCATTTCTAAACAAAATTCTTTATGTATATCTTTCCCATCTATGTCGGGTCTGTCATAAATAAATATACATAAAAACAAATAAATAATTTAAATAAAATTAATTAATTCAAAATAATAAGGCAGGAAAAAGGCTACATCTACACTCTACAGGTGGAAAACGGCACCGCGAGCAGCTCTACCAAGTGATGGATACATGCGCCTAATAAGATGACATTATTATTATTATCATTATTATATCTGCCCCTAGTTATATTCTGTAAGGTACGGTTCCAACAATTAATAGTAGGCTCTATTAACACAATTTAAATTCAGAGACGGACAAAAATTTACTTGTCCCCTAAAATCATGTATTTAATTATTTATTGCCATGTTTAAGGGCGGAGGTAGATCTAGAGTGGGTGGGGATGCAACTGTTCGGTGCTCGGTAAATTTCTTTAAAATTAAAGAAAATGTATGATATTGTCAAAAGCGTATTAGATTGCTCAGTAGTACAGTAGTAAGTTGAGGCCCCTGGCCACTCCGGGGCTCATTTGGATGCGCAAGAACTAAGCGTTTCCTCAGAAAGCAAATAGACGTTACATACTGGTCAAACCTATACAGTATATTAACCCCTTTTAATATGCGAGACTTGGAAATCAATTAAGACATGGAGGCACATTGAAGGTGTCCTTTACCTTTCTTCAAAACTACTGGTAGAGGGCGGGCCACTACTGTACATCAAGAAAAGTCAACAACTAGCATACCAGTCATGGTTCGATAAAGATCAGTTGGCAGGGGCGGATCTGGGTTCAAATTTAGAAAATTTCCCTATGACTAAAGTACATTGCCTTCTAATACTATGTATAAAATATATGAGCATAATAACGATTGGTTAAATAGCAATTCATCATTAAACTTATTCGTCACTTGCAGTAATTTAACATTCACCACACATTTAACACTTTGAGAAAAAAAATCAAACCAACTAACATTCGCCACTTGAAATTCAAACCAGTACGCATGATTTTTGATGTGAAGCGTTGGGTGCGTATTAGCGAGCAAAGTGAGAACCTTAGGCCAAGGGACCTGGGCCATTTTCGAATCCCTGGGGGTGCAGGGGCAGAACTCTGGTGGGAGTGTGGAAAAAAAAACTCTCCGAATCGCCGATAAATTTCATTTTGAGTGGATTTCCTGTCGAAAAAGTACTGGGTATGGTCCAGGGGTTGCGCCAGCGGGGGCCGGGTGCAGGGCCCCACGTAGGGGAGAGCTCCCGCCCGGGGAGAAAAACCAAAATTCGTCGGGGAGAAAAAAAATATAGACCTATGTATTTTCTACATATTACTAGACTCTAACATTTGAAAACCCCTAAATACTGAAAATCTTTGGGAGGTTCGCCCCTTGGACCATCACTTAAGAAACATTTTAAGACTTATAAGATTTTAAGATTTATAATACTAAAATTTGCAATATTAATGGTTAACTTTTAGTACAAGAAATAATGCTATATGATATGCTATCAAATGATATAATGCAAACAAAGTGTATCAAACTTTCAAGAAAAGGTGTGTGCACACAATCCGATCAACTCTAATTTTTTGTACCAATTATAACAAGGAACCTATTGTAATTCTGTGAAATTTTAATGCACAAAGCAAGTTCTAGGCAAATTTGGAATCCTCAGGCCAAGTAGAATACATTCCAATTTGGTACCATTTTCTCCCAATCATTTCATGGCCACCATTTTGGATTTCCAAATGGCAGCCATTTTGAAACATAAAAGTGACAGTAACTCAACTTTTAGA